TTTTATATGAATGGAATTAGTATTGTCTATTATTACCATTTACCAACTGTTTATTGTTGTTTCTGCAGTCAAAGGGCGTTGATGAAGTATCGATTACCATTGCGAGAAATGGTGGTTGATTTTTATGATCAGCTAAAAAGTATTACCTCAGGATATGCTTCGTTTGACTATGAAGATTCAGAGTAAGATTTGCTGTTCCCCTCTCATTAGAAGTGATGTGTGTATCTAATAATTATGAGATATAAAAAACTGAATAGCAGCTTGTTTTTGTTTTATTGTACTATAGTCAATGTGCTAGACTACATAATTTGATCTATTCCTCTCTCATTCATAATGATGTGTATTGATTTAAGAAACTTAATAGCAGCTTGTTATTGTTTTATTGTAACATAGTCATTGTGCTAGACTATATTACTTAAAACTTCTGTTGGGACTCGGGTAAATTCCAGACTAGTCCATTCATGAAAGTTTGCTTTTCTTGGTCCGACAGTTTCAAGTGTTCATACCCTTGTCTTTGTCAAGCACTTGGGTTCTCAGGTAAAAAGAGTACATGTATTATAGACATCTGATTTGTGCTGGTTTCAAGTTGGGCAATAGTAATAATCTGTTGTTTATGTCAATTGTTGTTGGCGAGGACTAGTGTACCAAGACCTTTTAATAGGTTTCCAAATGTGGTACCTCTCAATAAGCATTGTACTTCACGTTACTGCGCTTACAAACTGCTGTCGGTTGATGCTTTCTTTATACATACTTGGACCTTGATTGTTTTGTTCTGGTCTAGACATATGTTGTTTGCTTGTTGGCTAATGAAAGAGTTAAAAGAATCAACTATTATGAATGTATACTTAATACTAAAGAAGACATTGGAAATGGCACATGTCACTTCTTCTTGTTTTTTTTCCCTCCAAAACTACCTTTCTGCTATTTGTTTATGTAATTTTTTTTTTTTTTAACGTAAAGCATTTCAATTGCATCACTAAAAAAATATTCCAAAAATTGTTAACCTAATTTCAGTAAAAATATAATTGAAATTCGACAAAAATAATTTCATTGTACTATTTTTTATTTATTTTTATTTTTATTTTTATTTTTTTTGTGAGGAAAATTTCATTGTACTAAAAATGATTTCAGTTCGGTAAGAATAATTTTAGTTCTATTAGATTAATTTAGGTTCTGTAAAAATAATTTCAATTCAGTAAAATTGAGGTGAAGATAACATCCCTTATAATATTTTTCTTGATATCTTTAATCGGGTTAAGAAAACATATCTTTTTATGTTTGTATCTAATAGGAAAGTACACGGTGAGGAGGACTAAGATTCAGCCCGTTGTTGAGTTGTATTCTATCATAAAAAACTTATAGGCAATCATTTATTTCTAGTCAAGTAGAAAAGGGTGAGAGGGAATTAGGGTAACTTTTTTCTCTTTTGCTGATAAAAAAATACGATTAAATGGCTAAAGGTTGAAAACGTCATCATTTAAACTTTTTAACCAGTAAATACTAGCCATAGGGTCATTATATAAAGGTACCCCCCACATAGTTAGGGAATTTCTAGAATAATCATAGTTGGAATTTTTATGAAAGATCAACAATAGTTGGGATAAATCTTCTCCAAGTTTCCAAAGAAATTCTATTTTTTTTTTTAATTTATTACTATTATTAATTTGTTTATAATAAAGAAGAGCCATTTTAAGGTCATGCATTCGGCTTGGCTCTACATTCTTCCTTGAGATTTATAAGGGTAATATAATTTCTTTCACTTACTAAGATTTGATTTTTATTTATTTAAATAGGATAAGTTTATCACTAAAACATACATAACTCTAATTTTTATTGGGGTAACTATTATTTATATCAAGTTAACTTTTTTTGAATTCTGGGTATAGAGCAACTTTACAACGGAGGTACCATATTTATCGTACCCCCAATTTTTTTTAAAAGTTATGATGGGATAACTCAAAGTGATGAGTCTAACTGTCTTAAGACACTAGTGTTATCCTTCCTTTACACTATGTTTGGATAACAATAGTGAAGGGAAAGGAAGAGGAAGGAAAAAGAGGGAAGGGAAAGGGAGGTGGGGGAGGGAGAAGGAGACCTTCCATTTTCCTTCCAAATCTCTCCAACAATGGGGGGATTTGATTTATTAAAAGTGGAAGGAAAATGGGTCCCTCCAATTCCCTCCCCTTCCCACCTTACATTAGATATCCAAACAAGGGAGGATGCATCCCTCCATTTCTCTTCTCTTCCTTTCCCTCCATATCTCTTTATCCAAACATAGCGTTTAAGTTGCAAGAGTCCTTATTTACATAGTTAAGTATCTGTCACTGCAAATAGAGGCAAATTGAGCTGCACCCAGAAACATATGACCACCTCTCTATGCACGCTAGTTGTAGTTCAGAATTGGTCTTAAATAAGTATGATTATCTTTTGACATTCAACTCTGAAAAAATCTTCTATTTTGAGCATCTAATTGTTGCCAGATTCTTGGACTTTGGTCAAGTTATTGCTCTTCAATTATGGACCATATATACAATCATTCCAATGCATGTGTTGCCTTGTGAGTCAGTTCAATGGACTTCAATAAGCTGCGCTTTAGCTCCATTTATTCAGTTACTCTCTTTGGTTATTTGTAATGTTGTCTCTTGCGTATTCATCTCTTCTACACCCTGAACGTAGCATGACCTCCTGTCCTGAAGCTAAGTTAACGATAGGGAAATAGTGACTTACTTAGAATGAGTGTAAGTTAAAATAGACGCTCGAAGAGCCTCCTCTTTGGTGTAGGGTCAAGATTTTGAACTGTATTGTGTTAGATCGAGAAACGAGTGGATCTGGAATGTTTGTTTTTAACTAGATTAATAACAAGTTATTGTTGCGATAATTGTGTAACGTATCAAGATGAGTATATGTAACCTAGATGCACTTTAATGAAAGTTACAATTAGAACAGGCATAAATTGTTACAAAGGTCTGAATTTCACCCTTTTGTCTCTCATTTGTTTGAAGGGTGGGTCTTGTTTATTTCACCTAATTGTGTTATTGTCAGGTATCAAGCCTCTGATTTGGTAAAACTTGATATTCTATTGAATGGACAACCAGTTGATGCAATGGCAACTATTATCCATACTTTGAAAGCACAACGTGTGGGTCGGCTATTGGTGGAAAAGTTAAAGAAATCTATAGACAGGTATTTATAATTATTTATTGTATATCTTCTTCACTAATAACATTATCTTGTATGTTTGATTTTCTTGGCACTCTTATGGACCTCAATGCTTTCATGATGAATAGGCAAATGTTTGAAATTACAATTCAAGCTGCAATTGGTACGAAGGTTGTTGCAAGAGAGACGTAAGTACTGTATTTAAACTGCTTTGCTATTTAAGTTGGTATAGTACATAAGATGTTGGTTGGTTTCTTTTTTTATTACCCTGCACGTCTATGTGGTATGATCATGAAGCCGGTGTAGCCGAGTTCTAGTACTTAGAATTTAATTAATTTCATCCTATTGTGGAAAATCTTATTCACTTGCTTGTCATATTTGATATACTCTTAATCATCCTAATAGATATAATGCAATAAATTTGTAAAACTTTCATTTTCTTCTTTGTGAGTCATTAACAAGAGTTGCATGGTATCTATGACCAGCAATACATTATAATGTGTTGCTGCAGTCTCATTCATCTGCTCTATGAACTTTTCTACATATTTTTATCTAGACTGTCTATGTCCACGTTCTGGGTAAACCTATTGGGTCATCTTCATTAGCACCTCAGAGGGCTCCGACACTGACCACTACTACAACATCCATGCTTTTATACTAGCAGTTTTTTGTCACTGCCCTCATCTCTTTCCTTATACCATTGCCAGCTTGGAATACCTCCACCTTGGAAGTGAAGGAAAATATGATCAAGCTCTCTTCAGACGTGGTGGGATGGTTTGTCATTCAAATCATCCCTCTTTTATTGCTAAATTGCTTTTGATAAATGCTTTTTGTGAGAATTCTACTCTCATTCCCACTTCTGTGTTATTGTTTCAGCATTACAAATTAGCTGTTAAAGATTGAACTCAAATTAGGTGTTTTATTTGTGCATATATGAATTATAGGTACACCACTGGCTTATAGAGTCCTCACTGAAAGAGTAGACTTTTCAGTATTATAATTGTTATCTAATATATCTTACCATTTTAGGTTAACTGCTTTGAGGAAAAACGTGCTAGCCAAATGTTATGGTGGTGACGTTTCACGAAAGAGAAAGCTATTAGATAAGCAAAAGGAAGGAAAGAAACGAATGAAGCGTGTTGGTTCAGTCGATGTACCACAAGAAGCATTCCATGAGCTGTTGAAGGTTGCATAGGGGAAAGGAAGATGTTTCTTTCAAGGAGTTCGAAGTGCAGTTCAAATCAGTAAAGTTTCTGTATCATTAGTTTTCTTGTCTTTATTTAACTAATAATTTTTTTTTCTTGTTATCGTCTTGTAATTGTAGAATTATATTTATTAGTTACTAATAATTGTTGATTCAAAGATTCACATACATGAGCTGGCAAACTGCTGTTGTCAATTCTTTGAACTTTGGCCCTTCAATTTTTTGTACAAGGACCGTCGTGTGCCTTTTGTCAAATATGGAACCGTCTTTGTTGCTATACATATATTTCGTCTGCAGCTTAGATAATAAGATGTGACCTGAATAGCTAGGGTTTGTCCGTCTTATGTTACTCAAATATGATTTGTTGTAATATGATCTTTCAACACCGAAAATCCAGCAATTAGAAGTTTTTACTACTGATATAATCAAGCTCATGAACATTTTCTGGTGGTATTATATATATATATATATATATATATATATATATATATATATATATATATATATATATATATATATATATATATATATATATATATATATAAGGGAGGGATCCGGTGAGAATAGGTTTATATGTGAGAATTTATACTTTTTTTTTTCTTTTTTTGAAGGAAAGATAGAGCTATTATTTCTTAAATTAAAGCAAGTCCATTTCCGCCAAAGACAACAAGCCTTGGGGAAAAGAAGATAAATGTACAAGTTCCACATTCTCACCCGTATCCCATCGTGCTATGAGATGAGCCACGGTATTACATGAACGTTTAATATGTGAAAAAGTACAAAACTCAAACTTAGCTCTATCAATACAAATATCATCATAAACTGAAAAAATGGGTGAACGACCATACTCCTTCAAATTCACAGCCTTTATCACATTAATGGCATCCGATTCTACCATGATTCGGGAATACCCCAATCTATGAGCAAGCATGAGGGCATAGCGCACAACCATAACTTCTACTACTTCCGGAGCTGCAATGGCCTTCCTCTTTGCCGCGGCCATTATTTTTCCCTCGGCATCCCTGCAAACAACACCAAGCCCTGCCATCCCATAACTAGGTACATGAGCATCTACATTAATTTTAATAGTACCTGTTGGGGGACAGCTCCAACTTGCAATGCTATGCTGCGCAACCGCACTTGAGACTCTATTGAACACACACTTTGCGTAGGAATGGTAATCATGAACAAGTCTGCAATATCTAGCCGCCAGAAGCACCACATTTGGTCTTTCGTTCTCAAATATGATGAGATTCCTACAACGCCAAGCTGCCCACAATAATGTAGCCAATGTACTAAGCGTCTCACCGTCGCACTTTCTATATAGCCATGCCCATACCTCAGCAAAAGAGTGATTAGGAGCATCTGTTAGGATTGATTTTAGCTCACTATGCTCCCACATAGCAGCAGCTGCATCACATTCCACCAAGGCGTGCCAAATTGTTTCTTCATGGTGGCCACAAATCTGGCAGGAAGCTTCATTAATTATGTGACGTTGCACGAGTCTACTCTTGACAGCAAGATTACCCTTCACTGCACTCCATAGGAAATGTAGGAGTTTTGGAGGCCCACGAGTACTCCACACCATCTTCCAAACCTCATCATCGGGGATCCCAGCTAGCTCAATCCCTTCACCACCTTTAGCCAGCCAGTATCCAGAGCGCACCGTGTATAGCCCACCTTAACTTGCCACCAAAATACACTATCACCTTGTCTAGAGAAAGGCAAGGGTGTTGCTAGAATTTTTGCCCCAATATCCACCCCCACTAAATAGCATACCTTGGCAGCATCCCACTCACGACCACCATCCAGAAATAGCTCCTGTACCAACATATTTTCGTCAGCACCCATAGGCATTGTCAACATCAAAGGCTTACCCTCTTGCATTACCCACATATCTTTCCACACCCGAATGCTATTTCCATCACCAACTCTCCATGCTAGCCCATCTCGCAACAAACCCTTTGCACCCCACATACTTCTCCAAGTATAACTTGGATCATAGCCCCTAAGAGCATCAATAACATTCGAATTCTTAAAATAGCGAGCTTTAAGAATTTTGTGGAGCAATGTAGAGTCGTTTGTGAGCAGCCTCCAATTTTGTTTTGCAAGGAGCGCTTGGTTGAAGCATTTAAGATCCCGAAAACCCATCCCACCTTTTGCCTTTGGAACACACAATTTTTCCTAACTTTGCCAATGTAATTTTCTTTCGTTTTCTCTAGAACCCCACCAAAACCGGCATAATAAGGTGTGAATCTAATCAATCAAACCATCTGGGATCTTAAAAACGCTCATCATGTATGTTGGGATAGCTTGAGCAACGACCTTAATCAACACTTCCTTTACCGGCTTAGAAAGTAATCGTTCTTTCCACCCATTCAATTTCTTCCATATTCTTTCCTTCAAACAAGCAAAAATTGCCTTTTTTGATTTACCAATCATCGTTGGAAAACCTAAGTACCTCTCATGTCTCTCCACTTTCCGAACTCCCAATGTGCCAATAATATCTCTCCTCCTTTCACCAGTGACATACTTGCTAAAAGCGACCTTCGTCTTACTCAAATTGACTTTCTGACCAGATGCTCTCTCATATGAACTGATAATATCAACTATTTTCGAACATTCCTGCAGAGTAGCTTTTGCAAAAAGAATACTATCATCGGCAAAAAATAGGTGAGATACTCTCGGAGCAGAATGACATACTCTAGCTTAGCCCCGCTAATTTTCTTCTCCCGTGCTGCTTTTGAAATCATACCAGAAAAAGTATCAGCACACAACAGAAATAAATATGGCGAAATTGGATCCCCTTGACGGAGACCTCTAGATGGGATCACAGAGCCTGAAATTTCACCATTCACCTTGAAAGAAAAGAGACACTCGAGAGACAGTCCATCACTTTCCGGATCCAACCATTGCAAAACCCCATCTTCTTCATAACTTTCTCTAAAAAACACCATTCAACACGATCATAAACTTTTGTCATATCAAGCTTAAGAGCCACCGTACCATCTCTCCCTTCCCCCCTCCTCTTCATAGAGTGAAAAATCTCAAAAGCAATAAGGGCATTATCAGTAATCAAGTGACCCGGGATAAAAGCACTCTGGTTAACAGAAATAATATCATTGAGGAAAGGCTTTAGCTTATTTGCCAAAGTATTTGATATTATTTTGTATATTACATTACAACAGCTAATTGGCCGAAACTCCGACATGTATTTAGGTTTGACACATTTAGGAATTAACACAATACATGTTCTATTAATTTCAGTAATATCAATCAAACCCCTTGTAGACACCCATTTGTGTCTCCCCAAAACCAAACCCAGTGATGAGTACCTTTCACGTCGAATCATAATCGAATGAAACGAAAGTGTGGAAGGTCTAGTGTTGCGGAAAGTTTTTATTTCTTTTCTCTTCTCTCTGTTTTTGAAAACTTTATTTTAAGAAAACAGCTAATCCAGTTTGGTTGGTCCATGATATGGGTCCAATAGTAGTGTAGTTGGATGTGGCTTGCAAAGACCTTTCCAACGATATATTATAAGCCCAATTCCGATGAATATTGAGGAAGTTATGGCCAATTTACCAAACTGGGCCCGGTTTGAGCTTTATGTGCGGCCCAATGATCTAGGGAAGGGCCTAATATGATTTATCATTCCTAATGCAATTACGAATGGTTTTAGTCTTCTAGATTCTTCTAGAAGGTTCTTTTCATTCCTAATTCAATTAGCATTGATAAATTGACTTTTGTTGACTTTTCAGAGTTTTAATCAAAATCAAATAGCATTTTTGAGGAAATTATATTATTTTATCCTCCAGTACGGTAAACTTATCGGATTTTCGAAAACGCGTTGGAATCAGGCTTGGCGCCTGGAACCAGGCCTTGGCGCCTGGAACCAGGCCTGGCGCCTGTCGCTAGCCATTGGCGCCTGACGCTGGTGTTGGTGCCTGGCGCCAGCTAGCCAGGGTTGGCGCCAGCCCTGTTTTCTGAGCGTCAGACTCTGTTTTGTTTAATTTATCTTTTTGGCTGATTTTCTCTATAAATATCGTATTAAAAACTCCGTTTTCATTCACGAATTCTCCTCATTCACAAGTTATCATCAACAATCATTAATTATTTAGCATTCTCTGAATTATTCATCTCTCTTCAACATTCAATTCTTTCTTTCTTTGTTTTCTCATACAAAATTCCGCATTCACAAGATCTAGAAACATTTAGCCATATTCGAAGTTGCCTTCGCCCTAGACGTAAAAGGTTTAATTTCTGAGGGTTTGGTCCCAAATCTCTCTTTCAATTATTTAATTTAATTATTGTTTATTATTTTCCTTGAAGTTACTAACGTGTGTATTTTGTTATTAGAAAGAGATATGAGGCATCAAAGTAAGTACTTTATTGATTTATTGATATTATGATGTAGAAATCATGTTTACATTGTTATGATATTCCTAGTATCATGTCTAGGGTATTTTTAATATTAAATATGATTGTTATGATGCTTCCTACGTTCTTCCTAATATTTATGATTGTTAGTATCATGTTAGGGTTAAAGATTTGATTTTTAATGCTTAGTGACATGCTAGGGTTTGTTATTAATCTTGTTAGTATCATGCTTAGGATCTTGCTATTATTATTATGCTTTAATATTAACATGAACATGATTATGATTATAATTGTTATAATTTATAATGATTATGAATATTATTATTATTATTTTGATGATGATTATTTTATTTATGATGATATTGTTATTATGATTATTATTATGTTGCTTGATACATATTATATTTATTTATTGCTTGATCACACCTTTTATGCATGTTTAAAGGGAATTTGTACTTGTAATCACGCTTAATAAGATAATTAATGATCTTGTTTAGGGTTAATGTGATTATAATTCAAGTGATCGCCAATAATAGTTTATTTGTGCATTAAATTCAACCAACATAGATAAATAGGTTTAGGGTTAATCCTAATGATTGCATGTTAATTAAAAAGCGCACATGAATACGATAAGAATAAAGTAGAGGCCTATTATTAGGGCAGATTCAATCTCTTTTAGATTGGATTTGTACCTTCATCCCCGAACCCTTATTTGGTTCATGACCTTATGGAGTTGACGATCTCTTGGATCGTTAAGGGGTGTAACCTTCATCCTATGAACGGTTTACAAGTTCCTAAAAAAAACTTGTTGGCGACTCTTTTTCTCTATCTTCTTCCCTTTTGGACGCCACCGTACTTTAGTGTATGATCACAGCGGGGTTCAAGCTAGTGGGATTAAAGCTTGAAATTATTCCCTACAGTTTTTGGCGACTCCACTGGGGAGGATTTCTATTTTAATTCCCGAATTTGTTTTGGCAATGATTTAGAATGAGTGGATGAGACTTGAAAAGTTCTAAGTATTTCATGTGCGTAATTTTGATTAACATTATTATCATATGCATAAAAAAGATCTCATTGGAAAGACCATCCGTAATGAGTTAAAAACATAGGATTTTACACGTAGGAAATTTGAGAAACGTCTTTCACAACTAGGACTGAAATAACACCGCGGGAAACTGGAAAATTTTATCGAGCACAGAAAGCTGCTGAGGCATGTGGGAAGTAGCGTCAGGGGCCAGAGCATTGACGCCAACATTTTAGTCGTAGCGCCAGACGCCAGTATTGGCGCCAGGCGCTACAGTTAAAAGTTGGCGCCAGTCTCTGATTGCTGGCGCCAATTTCCCCCAATACCGAGCCAGAAATATGCGTTCTAATTTCGACCGGTTTTTCGTATTGTTTGCTCGATCCTACTTCCTGATTGAATTTTTTTCTCACTTTTCTAAAACCCATATGTGTTCTATCTATGGACATAACCCTCTGGGAATTCATGCTCCATCTACCCGATTGAACGCTCCGTGCAACAAAGGGTACATCTGAGATGTTGAATTCACCAAACCATGGAAGCGAGTTTTTTCTAAAACTCGCGGTGTCCCATCCACTCGCACCAACCCTTCACGGTTAAGCTTCCCCGCGGTGCATCCGGACAATTAACCATGGACCCTCTTTGACTAAACCATATCCCGAACTTTAGAGAATTAGAGCCATGGTTAGGTTGCGAACTCATTGCATCATATTGTGCCTACTTGACTAATTGTGCATTATTTGTTATGCATATATATTCTATGTTTCTCTTAACCGTTTTTTGACTTGTGTTGAGACTAAATAAATTAATGACTTAAAGAACTTTGCCTAATTAATTAATTAATTAATTAATTTGAGTCAATAAAGTCTATTATTTTAATCGGAATTGACCTAGTACGACTTTAGGCATACCTCAGTTGACTAATAACACCGAAAACAGTCCCAGACCAAAGTTCCAATATTGGCGCCAAGGTCTGAGCTGTAGCGCCACACTATGGAGTGTAGCGCCTGACGACAACTATGTTGTCTGGCGCCAAGCTCCAATGTGTGATGCCAGTCCTGTCGCTTGGCCGACAATTCGGATTATTTGTCGAGTCATCACCTAAGGTCTAATTAATCAGTTTTCTGTTTAATTCGGTTAATTTTGCTGTCAATAATATTTAATTGAATCGATGATCGAGTTTAGGCACT